AAGATTGTCTTGGACCTTAGCAAAATGGACAGAATCAGAAATGGCAGGATCAGAGTGACAACTGGGGTCAAGCAGTTTGAGAGACAGCCAGAGAGTCAAGGTCAAGGTGAAGAGAGACGGTGAATACATTAGACCCAAGATGTTGGAGATGAAGTTGCCGGGCAGGACGGAAAGAAAAGGAGTCATGAATGTAACCAGGTTTGATACACTTGGCTGAACAGTCAGTGAAGTTGATCCAGGTTTAACTCCTGCTTTTCTCCACTGCTCTTATCACTAATAATTCATAAAGAGAAAATACTGATTATAAGAAAATCATTTTTACTGAGCAAAATTACAATGATTCTTCCTGACTATTTACGTGATTTAAAAAAATAATCAACCATAAAAATAGAATAACATAGATTGCAGTAAAATAATAAATTCGAACTGTGTGAAGATAATATCGCAGTTACTGTAAAGTGCACTGAGGACATGAACACACTGCTGCAGCGTACTTCATTTTGTGTCATAGCCTGATAAGAAGAGCACCGGTGGGAGACTCCACAGCAGAGTCAGAGCTGCTACAGATGTGAGTTCCTCCACAGGCCGTACAGTACGGAGCCAACACCATTTATGTCTCGTTGATCACAGCGGCCTGGGAGCAAGTCTAAGTTTGAAAGTCCTGTGGTTGAAGTCCATCTTTACCTTCCTCCTCCTCCTCCTCCTCCTCCTCCTCCTCTTCCTTTCTCTCTCTATCTCTTTTCTTCTTTTCCTCCCTCTCTCTCTCTCCCTCCCTCTCTCCCTCTCTCTCTCTCTCTCTGTGGAAGTTAAAGGGCCAGCGGAGGCTGATTAGAATGCAGAGGAGGAAAGCTCTGCTGCAAATTGAAAACATATTGATTCTCCTCATGCTCGGTGTGAGAGGGGGCGAGAGACAGAGCGATGGAGGGATAACGAAAGACAGGGAGCGAAAGAGAGGGAGACAGAAAAAAACGAGAGGGGAAGATGGGACAGCGATGGGGGGTTAAAACTGGCAGTGAAACAGTCAACGTGCGATGAGCAACTTGTTTCTCTCTCTCTCTCTCTCTCCCTCTCTCTCTCTCTCTCTCTCACACACACACACACAGAGCTATTGCACATGTGCATTGTTTCACATGTACGTTAAGATGACATTCCATGTATAATTGACTATGATACAGGTTATGTGGTGTGTGTGTGTGTGTGTGTGTGTGTGTCAGAGCGTCTCCCTCATGTGTGTACTGTGTGTGTGTGCTGTCATGTCCAGCCATGATAAAGAGAGGCCACAGGATGCCAAACAGAGAGGACAGCGCATAACACGTACAGATGTGCTGACTGCACAGTTTCCATGGGAACAAACACCTCCCACCCTCCCCACGACCATCACCACCACCAACA